GCAGCACCAGCAACAGCAGCAGCAGCAGCAGCAGCAGCAGCAGCAGCAGCAGCGGGTCTCGTGAGTTTGAAATTATAAAAGCTAAGTCCCTCGGCCGCCTGTGGTCGCTGCGGCAGCCCCCCACGCTGCCGCTGCGGGTAGCCAGCAGCCTGCTAGCAGCAAACACAAACACAAGGAGAGCTAAAACTATGCCTGTTGCTGCTCTTCGTCACTAGCTGCAGCAGCAGCAGCAGCAGCAGCAGCAACAGCAGCAGCAGCAGCAGCAAGGGGGATGTTATGACACTTCGTTTCACACTTTGAGTTGCAGCAGTAACAGCAGCAGCAACAACAGCAGCAGCAACAGCAGCGCGAGAAGAGCAAAGCCTCCAGCATTGCAGCTCAGCACCAGCAGCAGCAGCAGCAGAAGCAGCAGCAGCAGCAGCAGCAGCAGCAGCAGTGCGGCGCATCAATAGCAGCAGCCTACAGCGGCATATGAGGAGCAAAGACAGCCCCTCAGTGCTGCTGCTTCTTAACAGAGAGAGCAGCAGCAGCAGCAGCAAAAAGAAGCAGCAGAAGAAACACCTGCAGCAGCAACAGCGACAGCAAAAGTGGCAGCAGCAGCAGAAGCAGCAGCAGCAACAGCAACAGCAGCAGCAGCAGAAGCAACAGCAACAACAGCAGCAGCAGCAGCAGCAACAGCAGCAGCAGCGGGAAAAGCATATCCTTGCGTGCTATACTAACCGAACTAAATAAATAAAATATATAATAAACAAGCAAATAACTAAAATAAATAAATAAATAAATTATAAATAAATAAAATAAATAAATAAATTAAATAAACAACAAAAAGACAAACATTTATCTCTTGGCTGCCGGCTTTCTGCTGCTGCCTTTGGAGCACCCCACAGAGGAGCTTCTGTTTGTTTAAGGCTGCTCTTGTCTTTGCTCTTGTCTTCGTTTGTCTTTGTCTTTGTCTTTGTTAGTTTGTCTTTGTCTTTGTCTTTGTTAGTTTGTCTTTGTTAGTTTGTCTTTGTTTCTCTGTCTTTGTTTCTTTGTCTTTGTCTTTTTTAGTTTGTCTTTGTCTTTGTTAGTTTGTCTTTGTCTTTGCTTCTTTGTCTTTGTCTTTGTCTTTGTTTGTTTGTCTTTGTTTTTTTGTGTTTGTCTTTGTCTCCGTTAGTTTGTCTTTGTTTCTTTGTCTTTGTCTGTCTTTGTCTTTGTTATTTTGTCTGTTTTTTTGTCTGTGTTTATTTAAAGCTGTTTTTTCTTCTTTGTCTCCTTTTCTCTTCCTTTTCTTTTTTTTTGTTTGTCTCTGTTTGTTTGTTTTTGTTTGTTTTTGTTTGTTTTTCTTTTTTTGTTTGTTTGTTTTTGTTTGTCTTTGTTTCTTTTTATTTTGTCTGTCTGCATATAAGCGTTTTTGTGTATTTGTTTGTTGGTTTTTTTGTTGTATTAATATTGTTGTTTGTGTTTATTTATTTATTTATTTATTTCTTTATTTTTTCTTTATTTATATTCTCCTTGTTGTTTATTTTTATTATTTCTTTATTTTTGTCTTTTTTATTTATATTTATTTATATTTATATACTCTTTATCATTAACCCCACACCGCAAAAAAAAAAAAAAATAAAAAAAAAAAAAAAAAAAAAAAAAA